TTTATCCATTACTTTTTTTAAATTTTTTGGGAACTTCTTTTCCATCACTATTGGGGTTATAATTGATTCCTCAAAATTTATGTTCTTCCATCATCCTTAAGCAATAGTTTATTTTATTTCCTGAAATAAGTCCAATGGATTTGGGAGGCACACTGATAAAATAGAATTAGGTGCAGGAGAACATAATCTGTAAGAAGTTCAATTATATGGAAGCACTAGCACCACATTTCGCAGTTCCTTTTCCCTTCTAAATGGACTGCATTGACATTCAGCTTAAATTAAAGCACTGTGGTTTCAAGAAGTTCTGAATGACACTTCAGATTTGTGGCTGATCTAGGCACTTGGACTGAACCAAATGCATCACAAGCATCCTTAGCCAAAGTCATTTCAAAAACATTCAGGTTATCATAACATATTGATGATGTTCTAATAAGTTTGCAGTAAAGTTTGATTACATACTCACTAATTATAATTAGGAAAAAATGTTTGTATTTTTTCATTTCCCTGTCAAGAAAAGGACCTGAGGAACTTGAGAAACCCAATCAGGAATAATAGAACAAAGTGAAGTGAGTGTGTGTGTTTGGGCACTTTCAGATTGGACAAAGGTGTTGAAAGATTACAGTGTTTGTTTTAGTGGTTCTTTTTTTTTTTTTACAAAAAAATCCCAAAAGATATTTCTGTTATTCCAGACCTTTTTCCAGCTTTTCCTAACACCAGCTGCAACATTTTATTTCCACCTTTTAAATTAATCTTTGTCACTTGATTCCCTTGCGTTTTAAAGACGATACAACAGCTAGCATTTATGGTATTTGGATGACACCACCACAACCTTCCCCCCTCAAAAAAAAGAAGAGAAAGGATAAAAGAACAATTAGTTTGCCTCCAGGGTTCTGTATCAAAGAACTTTAGAAAATTATCCAGAAGCAAAAAAACCCCTTAAAAGTAAGTAAAATATCATAGCATGTCTTACCCTTATCACTGTTGGTTGTGTGATCTTTTAAAGGAAGACCAGAATTATGAGAAGCTTGTCCTTTCATTATATTCCATTGTACTTCCTTTGGGTTTAATGTCTTCCATTTACAAAGGTCAGACTCAAAGTTGCACAGAGTATAATTGGCTATTGAAAATAGAAGAAAAAGCGTAACGGAGACGAACCTTACAAAATAATATATTCTGAAAATGCTATTGTGTTATTATTTAAATTAATCTCACACCAGAAAAAAACTGTAAGTGTTTTACATTTAGATCCAAAAGATTTCCTTTGAATCAATGCATTCAATGACTTTAAAATCAATCTGTTACCAACTACAGTGCACAATTCTTATGGAGATGTCTTTATTCATCATGGAGTTGTCAACTTTTAGAATCAATTCTGGGGACAGATTTTCTAACTAATATGCATTTTAGCACGTATATACAAATATGTACCTGACAGCTATAACTTATTTTCAAAGCAAATTTCACAAGGAATGACACAGAAGAAGCAATTTTACTGAAATCAGGTTAGCTGAACAAAAAGAGATTAGGCCAATGCCCAGCAAAACAAGATTGCAGTGTTTTCACTTTCTAGTTCACTCAAGCTTAAAAACATATAGCTCCTTTACAACAGGGCGATGAAAAGAGCAATGAGAAAATTCAGGCCTCCAGATATAAGGGAGTGTTGAATTGAGCATGGCTTTTTCATTTCTATACAAGTCTCTGTACCAATCAGTAGTGTTGGCATGAACTTATGCTTGGTTTTACAGGGAAACATATGTTCATGTTCTGTAACATTTCAGAACATTCTTTCATTCCTATCTAATATACCAACATCAATATCGCACAAAAAGCTTGATACTGTAAATACAGAATCTCATAGTTCTGTGCTTAAAGGGAAAACAGCTTATTTTCCTTTATAAGCTCCTCAATCTGCTTTGCTGCTGTGCTTATGATTGGGAAGTTCCAATCTACACTTATACTTATGTATAAATGCAGACCCAAAAAGCCTGCATCAACTTATCCATGGGAGAATGTAAGCACGATAACTTAACTCTTATAAAAAAGAAGCATCCTCTGCTCTGAGTAGAGCAGCAAATAGCAAGAGTTTAGTCCAGCCAACAAAAGTCTAAAAGAAATACTGACCCCTTCTACTCTCTCCACTGTGGTGACCCTTCTGGCTTTTTTGAGTACTTGGTCAAAGAAATTGTAGCAGTGGCTAAGAGCAGATGTCCCCATAAGGCAGCATTGGTGCTTTCTCCACATCATGGAATGACCCTCAACTTATCCATGAGTCATATAGAAATCTGGCTCCCAAACCTGCACTTGACTTACACATAAACTTGACTTTACATGAGTATACAAGGTAGATAGAGGTATAATAGTATGATAGTTTGCTTGTTGGATAAGGTGGCTTTGAATCCCCATTTGGTCATGGAAACTGTCTGGGTGACCTCAGAAAAGTTATACTCTCTAAGCCACAAAGGAAGACAACAGTAAACCCCTCAGGCTAAATCTTTCCATGGAAAAAATATGATACTGTCACTTTTGGGTCAACAGACATCAGAAACAGTTCAAAAGCACACAACAACACATTCTGAGTATCCTATTAGGACTGGTCCCTATGACTGGTCTATGAACCATTTGTTGTTGTTTTTGCCTTCAAGTCCAAGATTATATTAGTGAAAGGAAAAGTTATTACAGGATGGGCCAAATCAGAAGGACCTGGGAGGCAAAATGGAAGGGTCTCATTTCCAGAATAAAAGGGAAAGATATATATAAGGAGTTAAATAAGACTCCTCATGATCAAACAATTGTGATAATTATGTATAGGAAGAGTAGAAAACTGTTCCTGGGCTTTTCCTGGGGGGGGGGGATGGGGATGTGGTGGTAGGATTGGGTAAAAATACTTGTATTTTGACTGCCAAACATTGTATGTTTCTATATATGTATGTATATGTGTGTGTGTGTGTATATATACATATACATATATAATAATAATAATAATAATAATAATAATAATAATAATAATAATAGCAATTTTAAAAAACCTATTGTAGTCTTACAGAGAATCTATCACATATTACAAAGGACTTCATCCCACGGTGCCTCTCCAAGTATCTACATACACTTAAAACATGGAGCCACACAGAGCCAATCAGATGATGCAAGATTTTTTTCCGTGGATTCCATGGTTCAGCGTGTTTTTAAGTGTGTCTAAACACAAGGATTTAAAAGATGCTTAGAAATTGACTCCAGATGGTTCCCTGCACATAGATATGTTTTACAACAGCAAAATTTAGGTGTGATGGGAATTGTTTTATTTTTCCATGTTCTTTTTTGTGATGTTTCCTATAGCCAGTCCTTAAATTTGCCCAAAGATACAGTTATCACTATTACTCTAAGGACAGCAGACAGAGCAGTAATTAATTATATTAAAAATATATTAACAAACATTCACAATGCCGAAGTAGAGGAACTTTGCTGTATAAGAATTGAGAAATTATCTTTTAAAAATGCTAGAGGAGGGAAACTGGTATAAATTTGCACTCTCCTATATGATGGCAAAGCAAATGGGTGATTTATGTAGAAACGGGAGAAGGAAAAATGTGTGATGGAACTAAGTTCTCTTGGTCCTTTGGAGATGAAAACTTGAAACACCACGCTAAAAAGATACTTTGCCTCTATTGACCCCCCTCCCAGTGGGATGCAGTCCTTAGCTCTATGATGCGTGTAAGTGTCCTTTTGAAAGAAAACACTGAGAGCAGGGGTTGAAAGGATATATCTGTTAGTTTTACATGATACTATAGATTTGCATAAGGACATTATGGATTTACAGTATAGATTCATCTAAAAAGGGATGGGCAATAATCAAAGACATAGACCATTCTTTGTTACATTCCTTATCTTGGAAATACATAAGCCACACAGATGGGAGAACATATGCTAGGTTTTTGGAAGCTTTCTCCCTGCTATAGCTCAGCACAGCAGAACTGAAAGCTGTTTGGCTACCAGGGGGATAGCTGTATAAAATACAAATAGAAAGAGCTTAACACACATTTGAAATTGAAAGCAATTTTGTATTATCATTTGGGAAATTTATGGGGAAGCAGTCAGAGAAAGAAAAAATAAATGAATACATTCAATCTTCCATTTATCCAAGGCAAAAAGAAATCCCTCCATGAATTCTACTTATCAAAAGAGTATAGTAGCAGAGACCTTTCCTACTACTGCATATAGCCCAATCCAAGTGCAGGGCTCAATTTCAGAGAAATATCCACTGTAGTCTAGAGATGGGCAAGCCTATAGGGGAAAGGGCATGACCAGAAAAAAATCACCTTAAGACTAATTGCTAGAAATGAAGTCCTAAAAGTAATTAATAAGGAGTAGAAATCTCAACAGGCTGGATTGGGACCGCAGGAGAGCCAGATTTGACACTGCATCCAGATGTACTCCAACTATAGTTCAAAAGTGATTTGTTTTGTTCTTCAAGTTGTTTCTGACTTATGGGGGCTCTAAGGTAAAGCCATTACTGGGTTTTCTTGGAGCGATTTGTTCAAAAGTGGGTTGCTTTTGTTTCTTTCTAAGGCTGAGAGAATGTGATTCACCCAAGATCACCCCAGGGAAGGCTCCATGGCTGAGGAGGAATTTGAACTCTCCTCTCCAGGGTCTTAGTCCAATACTGAAGCCATTAGACTATGCTTACTCTCTATGGTAGGATTTCATGTCATCAAAATCATAGAATCAAAGAGCTGGAAGAGTCCACAAGGGACATGCAGTCTAACCCTCTGCCATGCAGGAAATATAATCAAAGCATTCCTGATGGATGGTCAAAATGGAAGCTGCGCTCCTTTTCTAGTGTAATTGTGCTTTAAAGCTACTTTTATAATTATATGGATGTAACTTAACTAAATAGCCAAGGAGAAATATAACATATTTCAAGCATTGGCTATGCACCTCATATTGCTTAAAGGAAATCATTGGAAAAGTCTTCTCTTTTAAAAGCAATTTCAATTGTTCCTCCACATTTGTGGGATTCACTTTAGATTATTTGTAGAATTGATTAATATGGTATCTGTAGCAATCACTGCATTCTCCAGTACAAGTCAATGGTCAACTTCTGTCAACTACTTGCCAGAGTTCCACTAGAGGACCTGGAGATTAGTAGAGAAATGATTTCTTAATGGAAAGGAATAGCAATTTTTAGTCATAGTTTTTTTCCCACTTTTGCAGGGGTCCCAAACCCCAACAAACATGGAGGGCTGACTTCTGTGAAATGGAGACAAAAAATATTTTAAAAACTGCAATGTGGCTGACAAGATCCCAGAAGGCAATATAGAAAGGGAAAAAACAGTGAATTGCTTTTGAAAAGCAGCTTCCAAGGCTCTGTTAGCATCATCACTGATATTCTATGTGGAAGGGAGAGAGAAGCCAAAGCAACTGGGACTTGCTGCTGTTTTGGTTCAGCAGGCCAGGAGACGTTGTCCCAGTTGCTGAACATAAAGGAGCACACTTCAAAGCACAAGTTACACCTTGAGATCTAAAAGAAAAAGAGAGGGATATAAGTACAGTTGGGATAAACTTTCAAAAGGAAAGAGGGAGTTGAAAGGCAGAAAAGGAAATCTCCCTGAGGAGTGAGATGAGTATTGGTCTGGAACTGAAAAACAGGTGGAGTTGGCGAAATGTCCTTTCCTCCAGGTAGACAGTAGAAACACATCCTGAAAAAAGACTAATCTTGACCCAGATTGAGTAAACAAAAAGTGAATGTGTGGTGGGATATTGAAAACAGAAGAAATATTAAAACCCATTAGTACATTTAGAGATTAATATTCATGGCAAACAAGAACATATCATTCATACTTTTAAGAAACTGCATTTTGTTTTTTCCAGCCACAGGCTTTAAAATTAACTTTATTTTAATTTTTGCACAAATATTAATAAATCTATATCAGCCAAAAATGCTGATGTATCTCATATTTTTGGATAAGGATCTGAATTGCAATTTACATAGAAGGGTAAAATTGTTTTGAGCGGATAATATTCCTTGGAGTGTATATAAAGTACCACACTGCTTCCCTGAAGCATATGTTATACAGATGTGTTTACATATTTATTAGTAGTAGTCAGTTATTATACTCCATAGCCATTTTGTCAAGAAAATTTAGATACAAACAGAATTAGTCATTATTTAAAGAAAGCAATTATCTTACAAGAAAATCAAGTGAAAAATAGGAAATAACTGGCCTATATTAAACAGCTCATTTCTTATACATTCATTCATTGTCATTCCCTGTAACAAAGAGTGCTATCCAAGCTCATTTACCAAAGAAGTGAAGAGGGTGGAAGTAGACTGAACACAATTTTTAAAAAACAAAATCCAACTAAAATAGTATTCACAAAAGTTTAAAAAACAATTAACGAGATAGTTCTGAATAAAAAACACACAAAACAGTTAAAATACACACCTGACATAATTAAATTGTAAAATCACAGCACGTTAGCCAAAAGGTTTTTCAATGATTTGAGATTAAGCATATAATCCCACTAACATTATGGTTCTTTATTAATATGTGTTGATTAAACAATTAAAAATTAATTCATTTTATGAATCTATTATATAGCTGCTAGCCATACATTACTGTCTTAATTATTTTTTGTTTTCCATGAATTTCTAAATTATTTGGATAATAGGTTTCATTGGTATTTCACTAACATGAATTCAGCGGTAAATCTAAAATTTCTTAGTTTAAGTGAAAAAAAGTTGTCAAGGAAATCTGTTTCAGTAAACTCTGACATTTCTCTGGGAGCTTCTGAATAATGTTTTTAAATGCTTTGCCAAAATTCACAAACAGTTTCAACACTGACAGTGCTAAATTAACATATCTACATTTCAGGATTTTTTTTTGTTACAATTTGTTCCCAAATAAATTTCCTTTATTTATATTATACTCATTGCTATCTACTTGCAGCTAAATTATTATTCTAGCTAATTAGTGATTATTGCTAAATAACACTGTTGTATCATCTTGTTCACTGCATGATCCCGGATTGCCTGAGATCACACGTTACTACTTCTAGTAGGAGCAGAAACCGTTAGAAATGACATGGCTTGAAGGATGCACAAAAATTCACAGTTTAAATGGTTTTTAGAAGGGAGAGCAAGATTAAAGTCCATAAATCTGCCCATAAATAAAAATATATTGAGACTGAAACAGATCTAATTTCTGTTGGTATGTAACTAACCACTACAGCACTACTGTTCCATGATGGAGGGAATATAGGCTGTTCTAATGGTAGTAATACTGGTGGTAGAGTTTCCTGTAATGCTCTAATGATTTCAGTAATCACAAGAGCATTACATTAATCTCCCTTACAAACAAAGTGATATTCATTTTTTTTACAACATAGGCTTTTACTATATGTGGAGTAAGAAATGCCATATGTTCACACTGGGTTTAGGAAAGGAAGAGGCACTCGAGATCATAATGCAAGATTATGTTGGAAAATGGAATACACCAAAGAAGGAAATCAGAAGGAAATCAGCAAGCACTTTACAGATAATAGCAAATACTTCTAATTTTATGGGTAATTAGAAACTGGATTGCTCTTAAAGAAATGGCAGTGGAATAACAATTAATTGTCCTGGTGCTCAATGTGTACCAAGCATTAGAGGTTACTATTAGGGCAGAATACAAGGAAATAGAATATTTCCAGTTGGCAAGGAGATAAGGCAAGGCAACATTTAATAATTCTATCTGGCGAATTTGTAAACTAAATATATAAGATATAAATCAGGATTAGATTTGGAGGAAAAAGGTGTGGAAAATGGGAAAAATGAATATCAAAATAGCAGAAAACAGTAAAAACATAGAATGATTATTGATGAAAGTCAAGGAAGAGACCAGTTGAACATAAATAAAGCAGAAATTACTACAGAAATGCACATAGCACAATTATTAATCAGAACAGAGACTGCAGTCAAGAAATCAGAAAGACTAAGACTTTGAAGGGCAGATATGAAGTATAATATCTGTACACCTCAATCCTTTTTGGCATCATATTGTACATTTATCAGCTGGTTTAACTTACCACAAGCTTCTGGATCTTCATCACTTCCATCCACGCAATCCATCTGGAAATCACAAGCCAAGCCAATGTCAAGACATTGGCCATTGGCACAGGAAAACTCTTCAGAAGAACAGGACCTGGGCAGTGCTGACATTGTGTTATACACAGGATGGGAATGATCCAGACAAATATTGCTTGCCTTGTCTTCAACTGTTCCTTCTAAAAACAGCTGGGAAAACAGATAGTAATAAGGGGAATACATCAAGATGGTTAAATAAATACACTAACATGTTAAAAAAAAAGCACAACTGTTTCCTTAGTTCCCTTACTTAAATTGCAAATCAACCTCTCTTTATATATATTTAAAAAGAAAATTTACACAAGCAATAAGGTATGAACAGCATTAGAAGCAGGGGGAAACAAATTGACTATGTTATCAACCAACATAGTCAATCTTTGATATACTGGAGATCAATTTGAGGAAATTCCCAGGAGGTAATGTTTCCTGCAGCACAATCCAAAATAGCAGGTGGGCCTATACTTTCACATATTCCATGCTGTTTCTCTTTCTAATGGTAAGTTAAATCCTGCTATCATGCTGGCACACTCATTTAGCAGCAGCTGGCTGGATAAACTGGAAAGGAAAAATCATTTGAATGGCAGTTGGCAGATCTACATGTTCTCACACTCCAGAGGATTGCTGTACTTAGTATCCTGTGGGAATAACTGGGACCTAGAATAGTACAGTGTTTAGAGTGTTAAATGGGACCAAAAAATCCCAGGTCCAAACCTCCACTGGGCCAAGGAACCCACAGTTTGATCTTAATGCTAATCATTTTTTTCATTCAAATAGACATGGCAGAGAGGATACAGCACTTACATAGATTATTTACACCTGATCTCTTTGGTGAAAAAAGTGGAAAGTAAATTGCATGAGGAAGTGCAATAGATGGAGTTGTAAGTTAGATTCGATGGGGACAGGGAACAATTGCCTTTCCCTCTGTTTGTGTTTGTCTGTCTTTATTAAGTGTATAATTGGCGTTGAATGTTTGCCATATGTGTGTATTCTGTAAAGCTGCTCTGAGTTCCCTTATGGGTGAGAAGGGTGGGGTATCAATACTGTAAATAATAAATAAATAAATATCCTTTCATCAAAAGGTTATATCTTTTTTTTGGATTTTTCTCTTACCTTGCTTTTATTGAGCCCTGCTGGTATTTGTATTTTGGCTTTCACCCATGCGTGGTTGGTTGATCCATTGGCACTCCACAACATTATTTTTTCCTCCTGGCAGTAACAGAACATAGACATTCATGCATATACACAACAATTTATAAATTTGTGAGTGTCTATTGCTTCTGTTTAGTTTGTCTTTCCAACCCATAATCAGAAAAGGCCATCGCCAGCGGTAGAGAAACATGGTTATCTATATTACTTTGCTGTACGTACTGCTCTGATTTCATGGGCTCCAGGGAAGACAAGGCATTATAGCAATTAGGCATAATAATTAAGCAGTTATCTTGAGATATCTATGCAAATGTGAAATAAACTGCAATGCAAAGTTACAAGACAGAGGGGAGGAAGATAAATGTGTGTGGCATTTTGTCCCCTTGAGACAGAATATTAATGGTAATCTCTGTGCATATTCTCCCAAAGTAATTTTGAAAATAAATGTGTATGAATGATCGCGGGGGGGGCAACTCTCCAGGTGATTGTGACCTTAGAAGTGACTCCTGTAGGCACTCCCAAACACAAGATCTAACACCTTCTTTCTTACATAAACAAGCTTATTGAACACCTGCAACTTTCAGCAAAGATGGCCCAACAAATGAGCATGTGATAAAAAAGCAAGCTGGTCAGTTATTAGGGGTCTAGGACCAAGAACCAACTGTCAAATGATCCACTCTTATTCTGAAGAAAAACATAAGAACTGGATTAGACGAAAAGCCTATCTATTTAACACCCTGTTTCTCACAGCGGCCAGACTGATTGATGACTGTGGGAAGTCTGCCAGTAATACATTAATGAAAGATCATGCGCCATAGCAACAAATATTCAAGAAGTGTACTGCTTCTGATAACAATGGTATCATATAGTCAGAATAGTTGGTAGCCATAGGTAGCCCGATCCTCCATAAATTTCTCCAGCTCCATCTAAATTAGAAGTCATTGTATAAGCTAACGTGCCAAAAAGATCATTACCCATCCTCATAGGTGAGTTGCAGAAGGCCTTTAATCATTCTGCTCACTTTTTCTACATAGCCTTGCTAACAGCAAAAGTATTTTGCTGAAGGCAAACAACTGAAGCCCCTGTGAGAGAGCAGTTTATACTGGAGTCTAGTGTTTTACACCAGTCCCGGAAGGTGGAAAGGGCCTGGGCAGGAGGTTAAGCAGCTGACCCCTCCCTCCTGCTTCAGATGTTCACCCGGTGATCCGCCCACCTGCCCTCAGCACAATATGAGTGAATGCTCTCCTAAGTGGGGGATGGGGGTCATCTACCCCATAGTGTGTTTGTTGGAGGAAGGAGTTTATTCAGGTGGCACCGTTAACTAAGTTTCCAGTGGCAGGATTTGGGGGGAGAGCATTGTTGGTATTCACGTTGACACCCCCAATTTGGGGGTGAAGGGGGATATCTGGGATGGCCCTGACAAGTTCTGGGGCTTGGGGACATCTTGCGATTTCCCCCCTTTGGGATTGGACCAGGGGATTCCTGCTTTTTCTTACAGAGTTTTGGGGCTTGGGAGGGAGTGCCCCTGGTATGGCCTTCCAATAATGACCATCTGGGCCAGCAAGCCATTAAGTGGACTGTCCCTGGGGTCAGGTATTCACCCAGTGGTAGACAAGGGGGGGGGGAGTCATTGAGTGATACCTTTTCCTCCATCATGACCTATGTCTTTGTTGCTCCCCCCAGGCCAATTTTTACTGCAGAGGATTGCAGTTTAAATAGGTCAATAAATGGCCCTTTGTTCCATATTTTTGTCATCTGGTCTCTTATTTCACAGTGTTACTTCAATTATGTATTTCTATAATGTCCTTTTAAAAATGCTTTGTGGCTTAAGTTTGTCAGTGTTGTCTCAGGTTAATTTTTCATCTGTAAAAAATGTGCTCCTCTTCTGTATTCATGTAGTTCATAGCCTTGCTGTTTTTAAGGCTGGTCAATAATGGTTTTGTTTGACTAAATGTACAGGCAAATTCCTTATAGTCTGAATTTCACATTTTACAGACACAAACAGTTAAATCTATTTTGGTAGCTAGAGATGGGGCCAAACTGAAATGGATTCAAGAGGTGAGAGTCAAAAAGCCTTGTTTTGTCTCCTTTCCAATCACAAAGCCTTGGATAAGATTTCCAACTCCTTCTGGGAAGTAAGTAATTTGGTAATAGATCATCTGAGTGTCATTATGTTCTGTACACTGGCCAATGGCTTGCATTCTCAAAAAAAAAAGGTTCTGGTATCATTGTTACTCCATTTTGGCTTTTTAAAAAGGGTTTGCTAATTTATCATAAAATGCTCAGTGCCATGGATTATAGGGTTATATTAATTTTCCCAGCTTTTGATTTTATAACAACAGAAGCAACCTTGAATATCTGTCACTAAGCAGCCAGACATACTTGTGTTTTTAAAGAAGCAGTAGTAAAATGTATTGCATCAGTGGTTAAATGCTAAAGAAACAGACTCTTATGTCTACAATTCCATGAGTGAAACTATAAATTTCATTCTATCATTTTCGGTATCAATACCTTGTTCGAGTAAGTCATTCTTAGCAGTAGCTGGCACTGATGTGCTGGTCCTCTATGCAACATGAAGGATATGTATTGTGAGCAGGCCCGTAGCCAGGATTTCGATTCGGGGGGGGGGGGGGGGGGGGGGGGGGCTGAGTCTGAGTGAAAGAGGTCTACCCTAGCAAACCTTTTGTATCATTACCCCAATACCCCCATGCATATGGGATATATTGAGTATGGTGATCAGATCATGATATTCATTATATGAATAAACATAACAGTTTAAATAATGCACCAGTAAGGCCTTTTTGCGAACCACCATGAGAATTTGGGGGGGGGGGGGGCTGAAGCCCCTCAATGACAGATAACTGAATACTCTGTATTATTTTTGTACTTCTCTCCCTATGTCAGTGTCATAATTCCCATTTCAAAAAGAAGGAATAAGATAATGCAGAATATTAGCACTATCCCAAAACCTGCAAAAAGGAATCATTCGTTTTTAAATAAACAAACAAACAAGAAATGCCAGCAGACCAGAAGCTATGTTCAGCTTTGCTACTGGTCATTAGGAAGGCATAGCTTCTCCCACCATTAATGGACACCAAATGGATTCCACAGAACATTGTGAAACTAAACAGTTTCTCCAAAGCATTCTTTTTATTCTTGGCAAATGGTGTAAAATGGCAAGAGAGAGGTAGGGAAAGAAAAGAGAGTTAGGTTATACCAGCCATGGCAATTCAGTTTTACCAAGTTGAATTACAGATGCAATATTTTTCATACCTTCTTTGTATAAAGCACTGCTTTAAGGACACAGCTTCCCTCCTGAGAATAATAAAACCAAAAATGGCACTTTTCTCTGAGGCAATGGCACATAGAGCCATTCAGGTGTGTGCTTTCATTTGGAGCACTGTCTTCAGATTGCACCCATTTATAGTGGCCTAGAAAACAATATCATGATTACTTCTATTTAAAAGATACTATTGCTTCTCTGCAATTAAAAGGGGAGATATGTATGTTCAATGGGCTGAACTGCAATGAAGTTTCTGTAAGAAAAGCTCCATGTGGTGTCTTGATGGCCAACAACACATTGAACTCTTATAAGTACACAACCCATAAATTGCATATCTGATATTATCTTCATGAGGTCTACAGAGGAATCGGATCTGGGAATTAGTACTGATTGTGCTACTTGTCTTCAGCTAACAAAAGGCTGCCATCTCACATGTCCACTGTACTCATGTTAGACAGGGATCTGTCAAACAGTTGACTCAAAGTAATACAACACCTGCCATTTTGCAGATAAGAAATCATGATTGGACCATAGCTATGGGAATCCAGAATTCTGAAAGCATATCTTTGAAGCATCCCTTCATATTATGTTCAACAAGGGACCACGTAGTCCCTCTAAGCAAGATTTAACCAGCCAAGAGGGACAAGTGGTTGATCGAACTGTGCTCATGATCCTGTCTATGCCGGGAGCTAGACAGGAGGAGTGTGTCCC